AAAAGCAGTTATTTAAAAAAAAAAAAAAAAACATTTTAAGGACAAAATTATTAGCCCCTTTAAGCTATATTTTTTTCGATTGTCTACAAAACAAACCATCGTTATGCAATAACTTGCCTAATTACCCTAACCTGCCTAATTAACCTAACTAACCCAGTTAAGTCTTTAAATGTCACTTTAAGCTGAATAGAAGTGTTCTGAAAAATATCTATTCAAGTATTATTTACAGTCATCACGGCAAAGATAAAATAAATCAGTTTTTAGAAATGAGTTATTAAAAATATTATGTTGAGAAAAGGGCGAGGCAGTGGCGCAGCAGGTAGTGCTGTCGCCTCACAGCAAGAAGGTCGCTGGTTCGAATTTCGGCTTTTCTCTGAAAGTTGGCATTTCTGTGTGAAGTTTGCATGTTCTCCCTGCCTTCGCGTGGGTTTCCTCCGGGTACTCCGGTTTCCCCCACCGTCCAAAGACATGTGGTACAGGTGAATTGGGTAGGCCAAATTGACCGTAGTGTATGAGTGTGGGTGTGAATGTGAGTGTGAATGTGAGTGTGGATGTTTCCCAGAGATGGGTTGCGGCTGGAAGGGCATCCGCTGCGTAAAAACTTGCTGGATAAGCAGTTCATTCCGCTGTGGCGACCCCGGATTAATAAAGGGACTAAGCCGACAAGAAAATGAATGAATGAATGTTGAGAAAAGTGTTGAACAAATCTTCTCTACGTTATACAGAAATTGAGAAAAAAATAAATAAACTGGGGCTAATATCTAATAGTCTTAGGGTTATATGTATATATTCATTCATAGAATTAAATATAAATGTATATATAATGTCTTTCATATGCATATCAATGCTATATCAAAATATAAACATTTTCTTAAATATATGCATGCATGCATGTATTTATTTATATACAATTAATAACAGTACACATATATTATGTCATAACAAACTTTTATTTTGGATGCGATTAATCTTGATTAATCTTTGCACTAATCTAAGCACTAGTAATAATGTTGTAAATTATGTTCAGTTTCTTGAACAGATTACCACAGTTTCAGCCAAAACAAAACTCTACTGAAAAAAAAAAGGTCTACATCTTGGATGGTTTGAGGATGTTTAAAGTAGAACTATCCCTTTAAAATCCAGAGGTTCAACAGGACACAGAGGCCCTGTTATTACATTTACAGCATTAAAATCATCAGCCATCACATCACATGACAGTACAAAGAGCACAGGGCGTTCATTAAATATAGACACTTTTTATATATGGAAAATATATCTTGGCTGCAACCGCCAAGCCTTAATTACAAATCAATAAGTTAATATTATAAATCCTATCTAATAGTCTCTAAATGCCGTGACAGTGATTTCTGAAATATATATTTGATATCTGGATTTTCTGACATTAACATTAATTACTTTTTTCTTAAGCTTTTAAATGTACATTAAGCCAATCACAGTTGTTGGATCTTCTTGAAGTATTATTATATAGTTCACCACACAATAAAAAGTAATAAAATAGTCAATTTTAAAAACTGACAACTAAACTAAACAAAAAAAGAAAAAGAAAAAAAAAACCAAACAAACCAAAGGTTCATCCAAAGGTCCGGTCAACTCAACATTCACTTGCTCTCTAATCCGTCCTCGAGCACATCCCAGAAAAAAAAAGCTAAAACTGTCACTGGGGTGGTACCTGTTAAAATATATATTTGTACTTTTTAGGTACTAAAATGTCACTTTAAGCATTAATATACACTGTAAACAAATCTGTAAACTGGCAGTTTTCCATATTTTGTGGTTCATGTTTTTATTTTGCCCCCATTTATTTATGCTTTTTAATTGCATTGTGGCACGTTGATCTTTGAACTTTTAACCCAAAAAGGTTGGAAAAAGTGACTTTGAAAACATTTTTAATAGTTTAAAGTGAGCTATTGTCTGAGATGGTGTTGTATATCACCACACAAAAACCTTGTAATAAGCTGACAGTAAATTTTCTGTTATTTCTCAGACTTATTTATCTCTATATTATTTCTTCTACATTATATGAACTCAAACAAACAAAATGTCAATAAAAGTCAATTTGTTAAACGGCAGAGAATAAGGTGACTTTTTTTAAAGGTTGACTTATCTTTTGGTTTATTGATTTGTTATTTTTATGACAGATAAAATGAATACAATAAATATAATGACCTTTCTAATTAAAATACAGGTAAAGTGGCTAAATAATTCCATTATCATGAGGTTAAATAGACTATTTTTGATTAAAGCAAGTGCAGTTTCATAGGAGGGGTATTTACAGCCACCACGTTTTTAACTGGCACGCCATTAGCAGTTAAAAAGTTGCAAATCTTTTGAAATATTGCATAGATCATATCTTGCAGCATCTGGGTTGCATTAACAGACCTTAATCTCTGCTCTGTCAACTTTTCATGTTGAAAAATAAACAAAAACCTTGTAATAAGCTGCCAGTACTTCTCTCTATGTTATCTATTATACCAGCCTGATCTCACAAGAAAACGTATTTTATGTTTTGCCAGATTAGTGGCTAATTCGTACAATTCGAGCTCAGTCGTACGAAATTGTAAGATTTAAAAAAAAAAAGGCGTGGCACCCAACCCCACCCCTAAACCCAACCGTCACTTGGGGATGAGAAAATCGTACTAAATTGTACGAATTAGATCGTACGAATTAGCCACTAAATCAAAAAGTTACGAATTGCCGTAAGATTGTGTTCATTATACACTATATTATTTCAAACTACTGAAAATGCCAATAAACTTCACTTTGATTAACTGTAGAGATAAACATCCCATAATGCAGTTCACAAACAAAAATAAATCAAAAACATTTGTGAATCACAAAATATGTTAATAAACAGATGCAGTGGCGGCCAATATGATTACAACATCTGATAGATCTTTGGAAAACATGCAGTCTTACCATTTTTATCCTCTCTTAAAGGCAATATCTGGTATTTCCACCATTTTTTAGCAGATACAGCAGCACATCTTTCTGGGAGATTATCAATGCATTTCCTGAGAACTTCAACACTAATGTTCTCCATGTCTCCATTATTTAGGACTAACTGTGTGACATTGCTTGTTTTTAGTAAGGAAAATGACCTAAATCTTCTTTAGAAGGCTCTATGCTATGGTTTATAGAGTGTAATGATAACTTTATAGGTATTTCATTTGTTTAACGGGAATTGTAATGAACAAAACTGCTGAAATCTCTTAAAGAGCAGCTCATTTGGATTTTTTAAAAATATATATTTTTTATTGTATTAAGCAACAAAAGTGCAAGATACATAAAGATACTAATCAGATTTCCATTGTAACATGAAGCAAATCTGTACGAAGCTAGAAAAAAAAAAAAAAAAGACAAATGTGATTTCAGTGCATTTTCATCAAGTTGTAAGAGCGGCTCACTGTAGTATTTATAACTTAGTAACCAAGAGGAAACAAGGCAAGCTTAATGGGTATATATTATTTCTTAAATGATGTTTATCAGAGCAAAAAAATTTTCACAGTATGTCTAATAATATTTTTTCTTCGGGAGAAAGTCTTTTTTGTTTTATTTTGGCTAGAATAAAAGCAGTTTTAATTTTTTAAAAACGGTTTTAAGGTCAAAATTATTAGCCCCTTTAAGCTATAAATTTTTGATAGTCTACAAAATAAACCATCATTATACAATAACTTGCCTAATTACCCTTATTAACCTAGTTAAGCCTTGAAAAGCCTTGCTGTCAAATATTATTTTATCTTTGTCATGATACTGTCATCATGGCAAAGATAAAAGAAATCAGTTATTAGAAATGAGTTTAAAAGTATTTTATTTGTTTAATGGTTAATATAATGGCCATAGCATAAAAAATGCTGAAATCTCTTAAAGAGCAGGTCATATGGATTTTCCAAAAGTATCTTTTATGTTGTAGTAAGCAACAAAAGAGCAAGATACATAAAGATACTAGTCGGGTTTCCATTGTAACATGAAGCAAATCTGTTCAAATCTAGAAAAAACAAAAGACAAATGTGATTTCAGAGCATTTTCATCAAGTTGTTAGAGCTGCTCACTGTAGTATTGGTAACTTAGTAATCAAGTGTAAACAAGGCAAGCATAATGGAGGCAGCTGATGGATCACATGGGTCTAATGTTTACTACTAACCACTTTTCTATGAATTACGAGATTTGCCATCTCCATCACTCGATTAATATGGAGTCAATCTACGGTCATACTTGCAAAATAAAGTTTTGCAAACAAAAAATAAAGTATTAAGCAAAGATCTGTGTTCTGAAGCATTGTTTCTCAGCCATGTTTCTGGAGGCCCACCAGCTCTGCACATTTTTCATGTCTCCTTAACCAAACACACCTTATTCAGATCATCAGCTCATTAGCATAAGACCTGAAAAGGGTGTGACAGACAAATGAGACATCCAAAACATGTGGTCTTGGTGGTCCTCCAGGAACATGATTGCGAAAGCCTACTTTCCTAGAAAATGCAGAGCTTTGAATTCACACATATTACTTGCCTTATGTGTTTTACCACATATTAAATAGTTGGGTACATCAGGGTGTAAATTACATGGGGGTTTGAGAGGGAATTGACCCCCTAATTAATGCTTGATCACCCCTGAAGGATGTCAAAAAAAGATGTATGGGTGGTCAGTCCTCTAAATAGTGAAAAACAGTTTGCTCTGAGCTGTATTTTAAATAATAATATTAATAATTAAAATATAAGATAATATAAATATACATTTGAGCACCCCTATAATGGTTCATACCATTGTGAATGCATAACTGGCAGATCTAGAGCAACGATAAACAACATCAGTGTTCACAAGACACCTTACTCATAAAATAGGTGTTTGCTTCTACATTCAGATTAAATGTGAAGTAAATCTAGCTGCATATTTTATATGGTTTGACCTACAGTAACCTCTGAAATAACAAATCAGAGGATACTGTTGTTCAGAATGCATCAAAAATTCCACAAAACACTAACAAACTTAAATACGTTTTATTAATGAGGTGAATAAATACATAAATTTGATTCACTGACGCATTTATTACACAAACTATCATTATCGTAATTGTTAATCGTCAATGTATAATTCACACCCTGGGGTACACCCAATGTTTTCTGACCCATTTGCAGCTGTATAGTCTTCTGGACTTCAACACAATATAAGGACACATAATATCCCTATGACCTGCACTTCAAATATGCGCTGTGTTCTAATCATTTTTGCCACCACTGACTTTACACCTTCCTGACTGTACACCGCCTCAGTGACAGTTTAGTCCATTTATTTCTTAGAGTATCCCTTTATCCTCGTATTCCTCCACAAGATTCTTCCCTTAGCATATACGACTTACAGGCCGGCCGTCTCTCGAGGCCTCACCGTCTCCTGGAAGGCCAGTCTAGAGCGATCTGCCGCCTCCATCTCTGGGCCATCCAGACTGACCAGTTCAGCTTCTTCCACGAGATCTCCTTCCTCCTCCTCTTCCTTCTGCTCCTCATCTTCCTCCTCCGGCTCTGGCGTGGGCTCCGCCTCGCCCCCGCGGATCTTCTTAACGTGGAAGGTGAACGGCGGCACGCGATAGGTGGTGGATTTGGAGCGGGCATAGACGGTGTGGTCGGGGTTCAGTGACTTCTTCATCTTCTCCCTGGAGCTGCGGATCTTTTCTCTCCGCTCGGTGTTTGGGGTCAGTTTTGTTCCGAACTTCCCCATCTTCTTGCCTAGACTTTTCTTTGTCTTCTCCAGGTTCTCTCTGGTCCTCTGTCGGGTCTTCTCCAGGTTCTCTTTGGTTCTCATTCGGGTTTTCTCCAGGTTCTCTTTGGTTTTCTGTCTGGTCTTCTGCATCTGCTCCTTGCTGAAGGCTTTCTTCAGCTCATCCACCTTCTGGAGGCCGCTGCGCTTGATGCGTTCGGCTCGGGACTCCTCAATGGTCTCCTCGACCTCCACTTCTTCTCCTTCAGAGGCATGCTCTTCCTCTCCTCCTTCACTTAGCACTTGCTCTCCTTCTTCTCCTGCAGGCTTCTTAGAGACTTTCACAGGTTTCCCTTTTTCCTGCAGGGAGAAACAAAACTGTATTAGGACAGAGAGTTCAGAAGAACTTCTAGAGCCGAATTCGGCACAGGTTTTTCTGTGAATTACTGCACCATTTTTTGACACTTATGTGAATCATGTTGTACATTCACTTTCTATACTATAGTCAGTAAAAATGTTAAGGCTATAAGTAGCAGGTATTTTCAAATATAGTCATTTCATAAGAACATCCTGTTCATGATGCTATGGACATTTTGAGATGCTTTCAACAATGGTGGAAAAAAATCTACACCTGAATGTATAATATTGATATGGCTTCAAATTATAAATGTATAAGATTTATGTATTTATTTTAATGTATTTATAACCCAAGTCAAATCAATATTTTATGTCTATGGATTCTGCTCCTGAACCTTTTATTATTTCTATTGTAAAATAGTCTGTATATAATTACAATAAAATATATCCATTTTGCAATGTGTAGTTCTTTGCTTTGGTGTCGTGCTTTTAATACCCTTTAACCTACGGCTATCCATTGATTATTCCATACACATTACAGACTGTTGAAATGTTTTATTCTGATTTGCTTGAAGGTGTGCAATAAAACTGTTTATGTGCATTAAAACTGTTTAATGCACAGGAATTTCCAGTAAGTTTTTCTCCCGGTGCGACATACACATGAGTAGCAATCATAGTAACTCAGAATTTCAGAACATTTATTTCAATCTTCCAACAGCTTAAATGTACTATTTACATGCAAGTTTGGGGGATTTGAATTACTGAACAGCGAAGCATAAGGCACAATATATTTTAGTATTTTTTTTTATCACTTTTTCAAAAAAATCTTCTGCTAAACAATTATGGCTGCATAATATTTGATCAAAATAAATAAAAACAGTAATATTGTTATATGTCAGATTTAAATTTGGAATAACAACTTTTAGTTTTTAACAAAACTTTTATTTTAAATATGAAGCAGCTTACCTGTTTTCAACATATGATAATTATAAAAATATATATTTTTCTTGAGCATCCAATCATCATCCAGGCTAAGAATGATTTCTGAAAGATTTTTAGAGTTCACATGAGATGGAATATTGAGTAGTGAGCGGAGCTTTGTTTTTGCACAATATTCACTCATAGCAAACTAATGGTTGAGAATATTGTGGCTGAAGCTGTCAAACTGACATCATCAGAGAAGAACAGACAGTCTAAACGTAAAAGCAAATGCTCAGACTTTAATTGAACAAACTTTGTTTTTCCAGTGGAATAACTTGCACAGCTTACTTGTTCACCTAAAGAATAACAAAGTGTGTCAGTAAAATAAAACATTGCAAAATGTGATTTCACACAGATTTTATATCAGTAGTTTAATTTGAGCCGGATCCTGTTCCGGAAAATGTCAGCTATCCGTGTTTTGCGTTCCGGTATTTATTTTAATGGATTCGGCATTAACTTCTGCTTGGTAAATACCTACTTGTGTGTGTGTGTGTGTGTGTGTGTGTGTGTGTGTGCGTGTGTGTGTGTGTGTGTGTGTGTGTGTGTGTGTGTGTTTGTTTGTTTGTTTGCGTGCGTGCGTTTGTGAAAAAAAGAATATGCAAGTGAAGGCTGCGTCGATTGTGGCCGATCAGCCAATCGGCTTTCCTATGTTTGATCCCTCTTATTGGTTGGTGATTATTGTTTTATGCAGAGTAAGCAGCGAAAATAAATAATGGCATACAGGCCAATCTAAATAATATTTGTATATTCAAAATGGCAAAGAGACATATGAGAGGCATATGTTCATTTTTTAAACCAAGAGTAAATGTGATGAGTCTGATCAAAAGAGATCTTGAGAAGATGAAACTGCGCGAATGGATCAGGATAGCAGCAGACAGAAGCAAAGCGATCTTAAGTCAGCCAGAAAACATGACAGAAGTGGTAACTGTGGGCTCTTCTTGAAGATTAGACTGAGGTATTTAATTATTATTTTTCACTTCACACATAACAGTAAAGTGAACTGAATAGAGATTGTTCATACAATTTATGTTTGTAGCTATTACTTTATTATCCATGACTGACCTATAACGTTATATGGCACAAAATAATTAAACACCGTTAAGAAATGTTATGCTTTTTTTGTGTGTGTGTGTGCCATCACTGTTTAATGACGTCATGCTCTGAAAAAACTAAAATTGTGTGGTGGACATCGGTCATGATCATTTTTATCTCCTGGATTTGTTCCGGGAATTATTCATTTACAAATTAAGCACTGCTTTAAATGTCAAAAAATAGACGGAAAATATATTAAATATAATATTTTAAAATGTATCACCAAATCTACTGTCCACTGTCCATATAAACTGTAAAAAAAAAATGTTGGGTTCCAAACAAAGTGTTCATGTTGTCCCAACACAAACCGATTAAGTTAATTTAATTATTTGGACACATTTAAGTGGACTGAACATAAAACAATTAAGTTGTCTAAAACAATAAAAAACAATGATTGTGATATTTTAAATAAGCTGTTTAAACAACCAGCCAAAGTCCTCCTTTGAGTGTAGGACTGCACAATATTCTGAATTATTCTAACTTTGAACATTAAGTTAATCTTACATTAAGTAAGCTAAAATGAAAGTAATTGTACTCATATTAGCTTTATAATCAGCTGGACTTCATTCTGTCTTAAGACTCATAATCTGTGGATATTGCCACCCCTATACCCGTCCTGTACATCAGAAATGGTGACATTAGGAATTCAGGACATGCCAAGACTCGTGGAAAACTGAGAGATAATCACCATCATTACACGGCTGGAGGAGCTCTGAAATAAGATAATGAACTGATCTGTATGCAACAACGATGAGAAAATTACATTATGATTATTATAAAACATGGGCCATGCTTAAATCCATACAGTGAACAGCCAAGAGCAGCGCGCCCTCTAGAGGAGACTTTAACTATGACATCTTTACAAAACAAGTTTCAATCTGTGATTTAGAAAAGACAGGTTGTTTTTTATTTTCTCTGTATCTTATTACAGTTTTTTCTCAATCGCTAACAAGCTCTTACCCACATTTTTCTGAACTCCTAACACAGACTCACACCTACAAAACACAATTGGCCAAATGAATCATTTTCTTCGCACAATACATTTGGTTAAATCCAGGGGCGTTGCTAGGGTCGAAAGGGATAAGGGGCTTAGCCCCAAAGAACCCCCCCCCCCCCCCCCCCCAAAAAAAATAAGTAAAAAAATAAAAGAAGTTTTAATTCACCGCACTAATATACCTATTCTAATCTTATTACCAGGATTAAAAATGGTTAATAATAAATAAAGGTTTTTTAAGACTTGTAAAATCCAAATAGGAAAAAAACTAGTCTGTTATGAGCCATATCATACCTCTTGAGCCTCCTATCTCCTTCTGATTTGAAGTTTCTGTTTGTTTTTTGAAAATGTAATTTTCTGCATGTCTTCAAATCTGAAAATATTATTTATTTTATAGTATGAGTTGTTATCTAATGTGATACAAAGCTACAAACATGTTCATTTGGACAGAGTGATTAACTGAGATGTAGTGTTGTCAAAATAATGGAATTTCTAAATTCAATACCTTGCAAAATATTAATATTCAATAGGCTACTATTTTTTACATAATAACAATTCTATCAAAAATAGTAGGCTAGCTAAGGCTACAAAAAAAATAATAAAAATAAAGATCTATATGCTAGAAATATGTTTACTTTAAATTTCTTCAGAGGGATTTTTTTTTCCAGTTTTCCTCAAAATAGGGTGATGTGGGCATTGCAGCACTTTAAATGCATGAAATGCCTGTTTTATTCATACTTGAGCAGAAATTCCATATATATTCTTCACAAAAGTAGTAGAACATTCTAGGAAATCCCTAATATGGATGAAGGCATCCAGCTGTTGCTGTAGTAGAATAAAAATATGATCTGAATAAAAATAAAAAGGCTTTAACTGATCATTTACACGACTGCGACAATAAATGTTTTATACAGTTGAAGTCAGAATTATTAGCCCTCCTTTGAATTTTATTTTCTTTTTTAAATATTTCCCAAATGATGTTTAACAGAGCAAGGAAATTTTAACAGTAGCCTATGTCTGATAATATTTTCCTTTTGAAGAAAGTCTTATTTGTTTTATTTCAGCTAGAATAAAAGCAGTTTTACATTAAAAAAAAAAAAAACATTTTAGGGTCAAAATTATAAGCCCCTTTAAGATTTTATATATTTTTCTTATAGTCTACAGAACAAACCATCGTTATACAATAACTTGCCTTATTACCCTAACCTGCCTTTAAAGCCTTTAAATGTCACTTTAAGCTGTATAGAGGTGTCTTAAACAACGTCTAGTCAAATATTATTTACTGTCATCATGGCAAAGATAAAATAAATCAGTTATTAGAGTTGAGTTATTAAAACTATTATGATTAGAAATGTGCTGAAAACGATATTCTCTCCGTTAAACAGAATTTGGGGGAAAAAAATAAACGGGGGCAAATAATTCAGACTTCAACTGTATGTGCTCTTCCAACCATTTTAGGTATTTTCATAAGAAAGTCGATTTATAATTTGATTCAAACTGACATAGCATGTTACAGTAGAGTTATATAATAATAAGCTAGATGCATAAACTCACTGTGATTTAACTATTACAGAAACAGATGTGACTTGCTATATCATATAAATATATCATTTCTAGAAAGTTAGTACAATTTACTTTTTTTTACTTGTATTTACATTGATATGATGCACATTTTATTGATTATAGTTATTTTAAATCACCAGAACTACACACATTTTATACTGTGGAAACAAGCTTCATCAGTAGTTAAATCTATTCAGTTTCGCGAAAGAGTTGTATTATTACCTCATTAGCTTCAGCTCCTCAAAATAATAAATGAATGATGTGCAGTGGCGGGATTTTTTTAACACCATGTGACAACAGAGCCACTCCCACCTGCCGGTAGAAATAGGTACTGCTGAACAGCTGACGGTTTAATTACCTGACACAAACGCTG